CTGGATCACTGGTTTTAATACCTTTGCATCCAACACTGTGAGGGCTGTTGGAAATAAGAAGCATGTTTTACAGTCACCTCTTCCGGCTCTTGAAAATCTATGCAGGAGGAGGGGAAACTTTTACTCTTAAGAGAGGGACTCTGCCAGGTCCTCCATACAGCACACCCCCCACACACACACAGAAAATGCCATTGTCCCAGCCACATGGCAATAAGTGGGCAGGCACTTTTTTAACCTATGCAGGAGGAGGGGAAACTTTTACTCTTGAGAGACGGACTCTGCCAGGTCCTCCATACAGCACCCCCACACACACACACACACAGAAAATGCCATTGTCCCAGCCACATGGCAATAAGTGGGCAGGCACTTTTTTAAAAAGTCCACTCTAGGAGGTACCTTGTGGGTCCACACCTGTACAACTGGCGATGGTGGGCTATATTCACAAACAAAGCGCTTTAGACCAAGTCTTTCTGCTTTACATGAATAGCAACTCATTCTTTGCAAGTGCCCATGATATTCCCACTCAACAGTGCACCCCACAGAAATGGTGCCGACAGAAGTCACATTTTCAGGAAAACCTATTGCAAATTCTGCAATGTGGGAGAAACGCACATCCTGTGGGCTCCCGGGAAATCTAAGCCAATTGAGCCAAAGGCAAAACCAAGGCATCCTGTGAGGACCCTATTCCTCTCTTCGTGGAGGTGCGAAGTTTCAGCTCCAGAAGCGCAGCGGGACATATCTGTGTGTGCAACCAGGTGTAGCTCCATCAGCCAGGGACAAAGGCTAGCGGACGACATGGTCTCTTCCCCCCAGAAATTTATAATCTCACTTCACACCGTTTCACTTGGGAAGCCCCAGTCCTCATGCCAGATGACAACAGGAACCTCAGCTTGTCTTTTGCCTTCTCGGGACCATCGAATCCCTGCTCCAGAGCCAAGAAAACAGCTGGAACTGCTCGAGCTCAGACAACTGTCCAAAGATCTACAAGCTAAACGACTGTCCTTCATGTAATATTTGCTTGAGTATTTAAAAATTACAAAACAAAAAACAAAACAAAACAAAAAAAACAATGGACATCAGTGGCTGTTTTCACTCTAAATATTCAGGAGCTAGGGCTCTCCTTGCTGATTTAAGGCTCTTCGGGGTCACCAAAGTGTCATTTGGAAAATTACTTCTTGGTGCATAAAGCGGCCATAAGGACCCCCTAAAGCCCACTGTAAATGCTCCTCTATGAAAGTCAGAGATTTGCTTTTGTCCAAGCATTATTTTGAAACAAAAAAGCAACCCAAGGTACAAACAGCACTGCAGCATGATAAAGACTGGCTTCAGGCAAGCCTTGGATTTTAAAAAACATACTGTAGTAGAGGAACATTATTCCTAAGTATGTATTTGGAGACACAGCGGAAGAGGCACAGAAGAAAGATGTGTTTCTCTTTCTTACACCTGGGCATGGGTATGTAACCTGGATAACAAAATAAATAAGAATCTGAGTGTGACCGCACACACCTACAATCTACATAGGGAGTCTCTCTCTCTCTCTCTCTCTCTCTCTAAGTAATGCATCATTTCCCATTAAAGCACACTTTATTCTACACTTCTAAAACAAATATGCTTTGCCTGGAATGTACAAAATTAAAAACGTGTATTTTATGCGGATTTGTTTGCATGTAAGTGTCGTGCAGCTGATGTCACCTCTTTTCACAAAAGTATACACCTGTAAAAGCTGGCTTTTAGATCAAAGGATAAATGCTGCTTACTTCCATGTCATGCAGGGGCTAAACTGTAGGGAAAAGAATAAGTGGCGGGATTTGTGTTAAAAGATGATTTTGCCCTGCCATTTCTCTTCATCGATGGGAAATGGTGCCCCCTTAAAATCAGACCATCCAATGCAAGAAGCCTCCCCGTCACCCCCTCTCAGCTTGAAGTCACCAGGCAGAGTGATTCTGCATCCTAAGATGATGGTGGTGAAAAATTATTTGGCCCTTGTTCTTTGCACAGAAATGTCCTGGGGGCCGATACCAGGGGAAGGTGTTTTTAACAGAATTATTCCCATCACCCCTCCTCCTTCACTTCCTTAATCTTTCAGGATCTGCTCTTTTCATACGCTGTTCGGATTTCTAAGGAGAGGCCTCTGTGACATACCCTCCTCTTCTCAGCTCCTAAGAGTCAACTTATAAAAAAAAAAAAAACAACTCTGTGTGTGTGGGGTGTGTGTGTGTGTGTGTGTGTGTGTGTGTGAAGAAAGTGCAGATGCTGGCCCCCAGGAGGCCAGGTTTGTGTCATTTAGATCACAAAGAAAACAACGACACAGTTATAGTGACTAAGAAATCCTTTGCTTCCTTTAGAGCCCTTTGTGCCCCCAGCACTTCCGAGGGTGGTCTCCCCCAGGGTTTCCTGGGGTGTGTTGTGTCTGCAGTGAGGATGAGGGTGGTGTAACCCTGTCTGAGAAGATGTTTCTTGGTAAGGCACGGAAGCAACTATTTAGCCATTTTGCGCAGTCCTGCTCTGGGGGATGTGGCGGTCAGTTTTGCGTGGCTGTGACGAAGTACTTGAGAACAACAACTTAAAAGAGCAAAGACTTATTTTGGTTTCAGAGGTTTCAGTCCTGGTCAGGTGGCTCCAAGACAGAACACCGTGGTGGAAGAAAGCTGGTCACATCATGGCAACCAGGAAGCAGAGAGAAAGGGAAATAGCCCAAGAAAAGACACGCCCTTCAAAGATACACCCCCAGCACCTTTTCCTCCCAGCTATGGGACGGGACCCGTCTGGAATAGGGAGGGGAGGCGGTCTTCTGATCTACTATCAGACAAAGTTAGTAAAAAAGTTCTTTATGGGTGGGTTTTACACAAACAAGCGGGGCAATGTTAGAGGAATATTTTCAGATTTTATGCTTGGCTTTGAAGGAAAGGGATTCTAGATTCTGGGATTTGCCTTAGGGAGGAGGAATGGCTTGCATGGATGAGCACAGGCAGGAGGAGGGCAGAGAGAGACCTTGTTTCAGAGGCTCCTTCAGATGGGATTTGGTCTTGGGGTGTTAATTCCAGAGCCCCAGTAGGACCAAGTTATTGGATTCAGGTCCCAGGCAGAGTAAGAGAGATGTGGTGTTGCCCAGCCTCTGAGAAAGCTGAGGTCGCTGACTGAATAGAAGAGTGAGTTTGAGATGCTAGATGGAGTACAGGATGGTGGCCCCGCTCCATCACACCATGCACGTCCGACAGACTGCATTCCATCATCACCAACACTTTCCCCACGTATCTCAGTATTGGTCACCTTGGTCAGTGTTATAGACCCATTTGCAAGATTTACTGAGATCAGCAGTCCCCCAAGCACTAGTCTATCTCCTGTCTACTACAGGGCCTCAACAGGCAAGACTACTGCCCCACCGTCCCTAAAACATCCAGAAGGAGATGGACATCTGCAGCAAGTTCATTAAAGGCACATATGAACCAGTCCTGGGCCGTCCCAACCCCGAGACGGCTTACAACAAACCCGCCCCTTTCCCTGAATCCTCCTCTCGAAACAGGCATGGACGCTGCATTCGCTGTCCACACAGTTGGACGGGCTGGCTTTCCACCCCCGCCAGGACCATCTGCGTCCTTGCCACTTGGCAGCAACACCCAGGCAGACTCTCCTCACCCTGTGAAGGACCAGGGGGTGGGGTGTGAAGCGATGTTCCCGCTCCAAGCCCCACTTTGGGAAGGCAAGCAGATTGCCCCTGCTCTTTGAAAAGAACATCTTGGCAAAAGCTAATTGGCCGCCAAACACTTAAGACAACTCCGGGGCATAATTTTTCGTCAGATGACATAGAAGAAGTAATTGTGCTTTCCGAGTGCTGAGTACTTTCTTCCACCTAAGCAAATCTGAATAAAAGGAATCACCGCGTGACAGCAAGTTAGCCATTTTGCACAATCCATCTCTGGGAAATGTGACAGTCAGTTTTAACTGGCTGTGACAAAATGCTTGAGAACAACAACTTAAAAGAGGACAGACTTTTATTTTGTCACATGGTTTCAAAGGTTTCAGTCCTGGTCAGTGGCTCCAGGACAGAAAAACACGGCGGAAGCGTGTGGTGGGTGAAAGCTGGTCACATCATGGCAGCCAGGAAACAGAAAGAGGGAAATAGCCCAAGCAAAGAAATGCCCTTCAAAGGTACACCCAAGCAACTTCTTCCAACTAGACCTCCACTTCCTACTAGTACCTTCCACCCTGAACTCCACTGATCATGCTAGTTCCTCATTTGTTTAAACATTTCAAGTAGCGTAAGAGGCCAAGAGCCCAGGACGGGAGTCAGTGGGCAACAAATCATACTTAAACTAGCCGCTCACCTCACTTGCCAGTGCAACGCAACAGCATGAGATCACTAATGGAAACCTGAGTTTGCATTTCACCATTTAACAAGATGGTATCCATGGATCTACTGGGAAGATGTCCACATGATATTCAGATATGGATACCACTGAGCAGTTCCGTTTACACGGACCACCAAAGGATGATGCCGCTGGAGTCGTAGCCATCAGTATGTGGAATATTTCTAGGCAAAAACGTGTTCCAAGACATCTGAGAATATTCCTTTTGAAGGAAGGTTTCATTTCCTTGCCCTGGCCACTTCCTGAGAGATTCCTGAATGTGATTCCATGAAAAGAACAACGCAGCATCAAAGAGAGCGTTGGATTTCTTCTCATGTGGAGATACCATCCCACAATTACACCCTGTGGATAACATCAAACTTTTTGCTCTTCTGTTATTGGAGCCCACATCTGAAGGGGGAACCTGTGACCTCTGATTTTTCAGCACAGAATACAAAATGATTAGCGAATCCAGGGAACTTCCAACATTAAGGAATATGAAAACTCACAAGACAGGGAAGATTCGTAGTTGTGAATTGCGATCACTACTCACAGACCCTCTAAGGAATTATATCCCAGGCAACGGAAAATTGCTCTGTGAAAGAAGTCTTCCCACATTCCAGCTTGCATTTAGATAAACGAGGAGTTTCTTACCTCACATCAAGTGGTCCTTCCGTAAATCAGTGCTCTCTTTGGCAGGTCACTCTGGGAACATGCGGAAAGGACCGAATCTCACCCTGGGGACTGACCCTCACTGGAGGAGCAGAAGATGTAGTGTCACTGCTTCGGGATGTAGATGCTGAGGTGTCAGTAGCAGTCATGTAGGGTGGGGGGTGAGCTTCCTCCAAAATATCTCTGCCCTGCAAGTATGAAAATGAATATTTGGCCAAGAAGCAATAGCATACACGTTGGAAAAATTTGCACTCCATAATAAAGACCGTTTCAAAGGTGACGCATACCTCTTCTGGTTTAAGGAACAATTCGTGGAAGAAGTTTGAGACATCAGGCTGCATTTATTGCAGCCACAGAACAGATTATTTGTTTTTCCACTGGGGCTCAAATTTGTGACTCTCTTGGACTGAGGGTCAGTGGTATAAACCCAAATGTAAACTCTCAGTGGCATGAACGCTAGAACAGCCTAGGGGTCATATCTTGAGACCTATGCTTGGGACACCTCAGGGGCTGCTGTTTCTTGATCAATGACTTAGGGAAACAAAGCCCAGGAGACAAAGCTTGTACTCACTGAGGATAAAGTGCTAAGATTTTTGCCTAGCCAGGCCATAAGTGAGATCCCACGTATCAACGCCAGAGCCAGCAAAATGGAACAGCAGGAAACCCATACAGAGAACCTGAGCTTGTATTTTGCCATTTAGCAGTACGGCAGCCATGGATTCACTGCGAAGACATCCAAGGACATCAGGGCACCTCTGTTGTTCCTGAGGGGTTACATCCTCGGGGGGTTTTGTCATTTAATAATCTACTTGATGCTTCTAAGATGTCCTTCATCCCACACGCTATACTTAATGGGGATGCTGTGTGAAGTTCTTTCTAAAGGAAAAGTCTGAATCAACAATGGAGACCCGTATTCATATTTGCTGTGATTTCTAGCATCATTGTAAGCACGAAGTTGCTTTTTAAAAAAATAATAAATGTGTATCTTTGTGCAAATAGAGATCAGTCTTAAGCGATGAGAAATTATTGGTACTCCGGGGCAGATGAACCAAATGTAGATTATTTAACAAAGAATGAATGACAGCCATCTTCTCAGACTGGAAACAGATGGAAGGAAAATGAAGGAACGAACAAACCACAGAAACCATCCTAGAATCAATTCTGGGCCGTCTTGGCTAGTGACGATGATTACAGATCGAAATGGCTGGACTTCATTGTACTAAGACATCGCTAAGAGCGAGAAATGAGGCCCTTTGGTAGAGCAGAAGAGTATGGATTGTGCTCTACAATCTGAACTTCTCATGTCTTAATATGAACCTTTTCTAGTGTGAATTCCTTTCACCAAACTGGCGATCTCTGTAAGATGGATGGCCAGGTGTAGACCTCAACATAATTGTGATAAAAGTTTATTTGTCAAGGAACTCAACTCACACTAAGCTGATCTCCATACACCACCAGACAAAAAGTGCAGAGGTGAAAGCTTCTTTGGATAAAATTCAAACTCATGACTAAGGTTTCCTGCTACATGAAATACAGTTGTTTCTTGGTATTCATGAAAATTGGTTCTTGAACTCCATCCACATAGCAGAGTTCATAGATGCTCAATTGTTTCTTTTAAAATTCTGTAGTGGGGCTAGGGATTTAGCTCAGTGATGCTGCTGCCTGCCTAGCAAGCACAAGGTCCTGAGTTCAATCCCCGGTACCAAAAACAAATAAATAAGCATAGATAAGTAAAATGCTATAGTGATTGCATATAAGCGATTCACCTCCTCCCAAAGAGTGTAACACATCTCTACCTGGCTTACAATGCTTAGTACAATGTAAGTGGTCTGTAACTAATTATGATACCGTGCTGCTTAGGGAATAATGATATCTAAGAGTACATATATGTTCAGTACAGACACATTTTAATTTTTTGGACTGCCTATTGAACCCATGGATCACAGAGTTACATTCTCAGGTCTTGCTTTTTTAATCTGACATTGAGATCCAATTTTACAGGGTTGCCCGAGCTGTCCTTGAACTTAGGATCCTCCTGCCTCTGATGACCTTGGATTTCACACGTGTTCTACCATGCCTGCTTCCAGGTTTCTTTTTCTTTAAATTTTGATTTAGGTCTATAGTTGGTTGAATATGTGCATATGGAAGCCACAGGTATCTGTATGGCTGGGTTATGCTATTTAAGATTGAGTGTTATGTAGTATTATTAGCACAATGTGATAACATACAGTACAAAATGTTACAATAATATAGGGTGTGTTATATAGCAATATGGCGTCTTCCAAAATATGCTTTCCTGTAGCTAAATCAGCAAGTATTTGACATCACAGATCAACATCCTGTGATTAAAATACATCACAATAAACACCTTGTGAGATCCTTGGAAACGTCTCTTATTTCATTTCGTCCTTTGAATCACTGGTGGGTCCCTGTCCATTTCTCCACACACTCTATTAGAATAATCCTCAGAAAGATGGTTTTATGAGTCAGCTTTTCCCAAATACATAGTTAAGGGAAATGGGGTGCAATTACAAATGAGGGTGTTCCAGTTGCTGGGTGAGCCTGTCCCACAAAATTAAAGTTGATTAAAAAAAAGCAGCTACCAGTTTGGAAATATAGTGACGATAGCATGTAATTGTAATAGATGGCCGTTCCAAAGGCACAAAAGATATACTTAAACAATGGGCGATGATGGGGAAAATCTCTATCAATGACCAATGAGATGGCAGAATTAACTGTGGGTCAGACACGATGTTGCTGAAAAGACAAAGCAGCGTCCCTGGAGCTTTGCCCCTGAATGTGATGTCTGTATGTTTAACAGACATGCGTTCTCAGAGTCCTTTTATGATGAAATGAGATCCACTGTGTACACTGTCCTCTGTATTTCAGCCTCTGTTAAGGATGGACCGAGCCATTTCCAGGGGAAGGATGTGATGAGATCCATGAATCGTGTGGTCACTGGTGGAAAGAGATGCCAAACCCTGGCAGAAAGCCAAAAGCACATTTGTTCTCAGCAAAGGCCACTGCCCCAGCATCCGGGGCTGATTCTCAGCAGAGCAAGCGGAGTGAAAGGCGGTCTCTAATGTGGCAGTGCCTGCTATTCTCAGCTCGAGGTAGGCGTTGACCCCATTCAGAGTTTTCAACGCACTAATAGGCATGCATAATAAAATGAGGGGTGTGCTCCTCGTTTTTTTAATAGAAAAATGCTGCTGTTTTCACTTTTAAACTTTATATTCTCACGGGCACAATGAGGGGCTAGTTAGTGTCCCTAGAAAATTAAACAGAAAAATAAATGGTGATATTAGATGTGGTAGTAAAGATAGGTCTTGGTCACTGTCTCCTCACTGGCACAAAATAGGAGCAGCTTGAAGGAGGAGAGGTTTATTTTGAATCATAGTTTTTAGAAGTTCTGGTCCATAGTTGGATGGCCCCAAGGAAGGAAGGGCAGGACAAAAGGGTCTGGTGGAGGACAGCTGCTCACACTGTGGCAGCCCAGAAGCAGAAAGAAAACTGAGGAGTCTGAAGAGGATACACCCTGCCGGGTGATCTGTTTCCAACCAGGGTCCTTCTCCTAATGGCACAACAGGATTCGATCTGATCCCCTCCCAAAGGCCCGACCTCTGACCACAGGAGTCTTTCGAGGGATATTCTCATTTCAGTCGTAGCAAGATAGGGGTGAGCCTTGCCCCCCAAACACCCTGATTTGTGTTGTACTGTTCTCCACAGATTCTCAGTGTCAGCCCCCACAGACACAGTATCTTGCACCCCAGCTCTGAGAAGTCTCAGTCTTGCTTCGAGACTTGGGTTAAACAGCTCTGCAAGCATGAAGGGCTTTTCCAGGTTGGACAGGCAGATATTTTCAAGGAGTTGCCAGAGTTCTGTGGACTGCAATAAAGTTTTGTGCCAGTTAGGGCTCATTACAGGAACAGATTTGATACAAAATATGTATCAAATGATAGATGATAGGCAAACCTACCAATATATAGATACAGATAAATGAAAGATGATCGATAAACAATAGATAGATGATAGGTGTATAGATGAGAGGTAGATAGATAGATGAGAAAGATGAATAGATAGATGGACGGATAGATAGATAGATAGATAGATAGATAGATAGATAGATAGATGGATAGATAGAGAGACAGATGGATAGATGGATGGATAGATGGATGGATGGATAGACAGACAGATGGATAGATAGATAGATAGATAGATAGATAGATAGATAGATAGATATGGATAGATAGAGAGACAGATGGATAGATGGATGGATAGATGGATGGATGGATAGACAGACAGACAGACAGACAGATTGATTAAAAAGTTAGGCTTACAATGGCTGCCTGCACTGCTGTACTACCAAGGGTAAAAGAGTGTCCAAGGACCAACTGCACTCTGGACATCTGAAGGATCCAGTCAAAAGTCAAAGACTTGGGGCTCAATGCAGAGACCCATGGAAGTTCATATCAGGGGGCCACAGAATCTGAGCTGGAGGGCTCAGAGTCTGCACTGGAATCCTGGAGACAATGTCCAAAGGTGATGGCAAAGACTAGAGCTCCTTGGAAGCAGCAGAAGCAGCGAGCCTTCCTTCTTTCTGTCTTTGCTATCCCAGGCTGTGAGTGCATTCCCTGGCTCACACACTTCCGGTGCCTCATCCGTCCACAGTAAGTCCATCATGCACACACCAAGAACCTTGCTAAGCCAATCAACTCTGTGTTTCTCATTCAACTTGACACCATAGTTTACTACCAAAAGCTTTAGGACTTTATTCAGCTCTCATGCCCCAGAGAAGACTTCTCCATCAGGATACTCTCACAGTTGAGGCCAACTGAGGTTTCTTTCTTTCCAGATTAAGGGGGAGAGAGGTACATGGGATTATTAATCTTGGTATTGAATTTCCTGGGTTAGCCCCTAACAGGTGAGTAAAGCCTGCTCCCAGGTGTGTCTGGGTGGGTCTTGGGGGTGTGGCCTTGGGCACTATATCTGGTCTTTTGCCCGTTTCTCTCTGCTACTCTTCCCGGCCTTTATTTTCCAGCCCCCAGGATCTCAGAAGCTGTGCTCTACTACACAGTTCTGTCCCGATGTATGCCAGGGAGTGAAAGAGTGAACCAAATTAACCCTCTCCTTCTTCAACCTGCAGGCACTGGGTGTTGGGTGTCAGCAACAAGAAAGCTAACTGCTACAGAGAAAGAGCCTGAGGTTTGCCCCACTGCAGATTTTTTTCTTTTTGGTCAGGAGCTACCCCAGGCACACACTTGAAGGCTTTATTTCTTTTTGAATTCGATCTGACTTTTCACGCCTCTTCCAGTAGACTGTTGATGCAACACTGGCAGTGCAGATGTGAGAATGCTTCCTGAGAGCTGTTTTGATAGGATGGCAGCTTGTCAGTGGGGGGAGACACTGCAGATAATGTGGAGGAAGAGAGAGAAGTTCAAAAGAAGTAACTACTAGAGTCAAGGGTCTCGGCAAAGATAACTTGGGTTAGTTTTGCTCTTTTTCAGTATGAGTTACGTCCTTGACTCTTGACAAGGAATGCCTTGCTCTCCCTTTGCTCACATTAAGTCACCCAAGGCCTGAAAATACTACATGGAAAATTCCATAAATAACCAAGTGGGAGTTTTAAATGGCACACCATTCTGAGGAGCAGGATGGAATCTTGCGCTGGCCTGCTGGGGCACAACTGGATGACAGTTGTCCCTTTCCCCAACATTTTGACACTGTACAGACTACACACCTGTTAGTCATCTAGAAGCCAGGACAGTTCTCAGATCAACCGTGGTGGTATTCTGGGGCTGGTGCCTCCTGGAACCCTTCTTTTTCTTAATGAGGACCCTACAGTGGAAGGGTAGGGCTGCTGCCGATATGGAATTGCCAGAGAGAAGCCAGAAAGAGCTTCTTTCAAGGACAATGTCTCTTATTTAATTACAAAAAGAAAATTCCCATGTGGGTTTTACTAAAACTCTATGGTAGGAACCAAACACACCTACAGCATGTGGCACCATGGTGTTTCCGGTGTTCACCCGGAGGGCTTGAATGGCTCCCCTGGGACAAGAAGAGAGGACTGCAGTTCTGTTGCTGGCCTCGCGGCGCTCCCTCTACGTTAGTCTCCCTTTGCATGATTCCCTGCTCCCCATCAGGACCGTAGCCTTTTTCCATTTCTCTTTTCACCCCCACGTATGAGGCAGACAGAAGCTCAGGGCACCATAAAATGGTGCTGAGTTGGTGTCGTCGAGAGGGCGATCCGTCGACTGGAGCAGAGTGCAGATCCTCCCCGGGTCCCGGGCTGTGGAGAAGGACGAAGTGATAGAGACGTGGTCAGGCCCGGGAGCTCCTTCCCGTAACCAGCTGCTTACGGGGGCTGCCTGTCCAGAGGGGAGGTCGGACTGGGGGTGCCCTGCTGCTGAGAACTGCAGAAACTTAGTGTTCTTCGCCATTATTTTCTCTACCCTACGTATATTCAGACGTTTTCATTTTAAAAGGTGGGGGGATGTAATGCTTTATCATTTCGTACATATGGGGTGACTTTCTGTATGCACTTAACAGCTATTGATTATGCACTTGTGACTGTTTCTCACTGTGGTTCTACCAGTTTTACTATTATTATTATTAATTATTATTATTTAGTACAGGGATTGAACCCACAGCCTTCTATCTACAAGGCAATCACTGTACCACTGAGGTACATCGCCATCCCTACATATATTTTAATTACTAGCAGATACTCCGTTATTAGTGTCTTTATGCAGAAAAATACAAGAAGTTTCATCAGAGGGACTTACCTGAAAAATACCTCTCTTAATTACAAAGCCTTTCTTTGAAACCATGACTCTCAAGCCCCATTAAAAAATATTGCTCATTTTCCTCGCATTTCAAAGGGAAAACCTTGCAAAAGTTCCCTTCCTATACTGTATTTCTTGAGCCATCTTAGAAACCATCTATTTCAGTCTGAACATTCACAGATATGAAAACCGAGGTTCAGAAACATTTTTCCTCTCATCCCAAAGCATAAATTGAACTGTAAAAGTCAAAGTCAAGGGTCGAACACAGACCTTGTCAGGAGGTTTTTCAAATCATTTATTCATTCCGCAAAAGGTGTCAAGTATCTTGTATACAAATTGTATGCCCTAATGGTTCAGCCTCCGTTATAGTGGGGGACTACGGAACAGGGGCAAGGAGTGAAATCATGAGACGCAGCAACTCCATTCCTAGATATATAATGAAGAGAAATAAAAAGCTATGTACACAGATTTTAAAAAAAAATACACTTGTCCGTGGATGTTCATAGCAACATCAATAGCCAAGACGTACAAACAACCCAAAAATCTCTGAGGACTGTTGAATAGATAAACACAGTTGGTTAAGCCACACAAGGGAATATTATGCAGCCATAAAAATGAATAAAGCTGTGATGTGTTACCTAGAAGCTGAAACTTGAACGTATTATGCTAAATAAGACAGGAGATGCGAAAGGTCACACAGATTGTATGTAATCCATGAGCTGTGAAAGGTCACATGCATTGTATATAATCCATGAGATTCAAAAGGTCACATACATTGTATATAATCTTGTTTGTTGTCTACAGGTGCAGGGTTTCTTTCTAGAGTAATGGAAATGTTCTAAAGCGGATTGTTTTGACAGCAAGCAAGTGTGCATATCCTGAGCCATTCATAGCTACATGGGAGGTGGGTGAATTGTATGGCATACGGATTATATGTCAGTTCAGCTGGCAAATGGTTTCAAAGAAAAATAAATATGTAGTTCCACAAGGACTGTGCAGAAAAAACTGAAGAAGAAAGGGAGGAGGGCACACCATCACGGATAGATTTTTAGCTCCACGGCTTACCTACGTTCTCCAAATTCCTAGAAATAAGCAAGTCTGATTTGCACCACAGGGGAACTGAGTCAATAATCATGTGCTGCATCCCAATGCCCAAAAAGTACAACTTCCCTTGCAGCCTCAGACCTGAGGCAGGGCAAACCTCTCCAGTTGTTTCAAATCTAAAAGCCACCAGCGAGGATTCCGAATACTCCTCCGCGAAGCAAGGTAAATGTTTGCGGGACAGATGATGGTAAGCACCTGATTTGATCTTTACACAGTGTGTCCGTGTATCTAAACATCCCATGTCCTCCACAAATTTGTACAATTATCATATGTCAACTTTAAAAGAACAAAGTTTCCCTGCATCCAGGAGCCAACTAATCCTACTCTCAGAGCTAAACAGCCTCCTGGTTCCATTAATTAAGTCATGTTGTGGCAAGTATAGAAAAGAAATTCCAAGTCCTTTCTGTCCCCAGGAATTTTAAGGAGTAACAAGGAAAGTAATGCTTCAAATGCCATGCCAAAAAAAAAAAAAAAAAAAAACATGATTCAGTAACCCATTCCAGGGTGCCTCATCAATTTTCTATCCATGCTAGAGCTGAGGTTAAAAAAAAAAAAGTTTGAAGAGCTCTTTTTTGGAAGAGCGCTTTACGTTGACCAAAACCTTCAGTGGAAGTGTTTTGCAGGCTGGCCACTCTGGAGGGAGCCTGTCGCCCTGTCAAAGCTCTCTGGGTTCCAGGACCAGAGGCCCTATGATCCAAGAGTCAGCCTGGGTCCTTTTCCCAACTCCCTGGGATCTTCACCCAGGAGGGAGCTCACCTAAGGCACCCCTGCAGGCACTGCACGGGGCAGAGTTTGCCTGGTGTGAGCTACACGTTCATCACAATGAAAAGCCCGAAGCGCATCACAATCGCCCTGGGGACCAGGAGAGCAGCCAAGAGGAGGCTGTGCATTTTGGTCCAGATGAAATAAATTGCACCCTGAAGAAGGGATGCTCTCAGGAGCATTTGAAAGGCATCTCTGGACCATGAAGTAGGAAACGCAAGGTGTTGCTTGGGGGCTCTGGTCTGACATTCACTTTGACCTTTTTTGTTTCTTTAATTTCTGGTTCTGTTTGGCTGTGAATTTAAAATCCTTCCTTTCCCCGATTTCCAAGAAAGCATCTTGGTCAGTGGCCAGCCCCGGGCATCCATGCAGCTACTGCTCTCCGTACAGGCAGGGTGATAAAGACTAGTGAGGATGAAATATAGATTTGGAGGTGTCAGGAGGAAATAAATTGGATCCACGTCAGATTTCGTTCTGCATCCAAATGTCCAAAAAGTAGAATTTCCCTTGCAGCCTCAGACCTGCGGCAGAGAAAACCTCTCCAGCTATTTCAAATCTAAAAGTTTTGCTGAAAATCCTTCCTCTAACTGCCTGGACCCCCTATTCTGCCTGTTGTCCAACCCTATGGAAATGAAGAGCTGGGCAGCCCTCCCAGAGGCCATCATGAACTGTGTGAGAAACTTGAAAAGAACACAGGGTCACCAGCAGGGAGGAATAAGATGGGAGCAGAACAGGAAGCTGGGGTGACACAAACAAAGGATGCACGCATTTTAAAAGCCTGGAGAATAAAGTGCAAAATTTTGCGTGCTTAGAGGTGGCCAGAGGGAAGAGCTTAGATTTGAAATATCTACGCCCCAAGAAAAATGGCTTCCGTTCTCCTGAAAGATCATCAGCATGGTTGGGAGGTTAGCACCGAATTAGGAAGGAAAGGCCAAAAGCAAAACAGATCAGCGCCCTGGGAATAAAAGACATGGGGTTTCATTTTCCAAGGAGTATTGACGGTAAGAATTGTAATGCCACGGGACTTTGGTAGTAAAAGGAGAGAGAATGATACCTGCTTCACAAGAACATTGGCTTGTTAAATTATACAGGCGACGGTAAATTTTATAGAAGAACTGTTGAATAATGTGAATGTGATGCCATGACCTGCAGAATATATTCTAGAACGATGGTTGGCTAAACTTGTCTGTGGGCCAATGTGGCCTGCTGACTGCGTTCGTAAATAAAGTTTGATTGGAACAAAGATATGCCCATTCACTGTGCACTACCCATGCCTGCTTTCTTGCCACAGCTGCAAAACTGTGTAGTCCAGACAATGTTTTGGGACGACGTTGGGTTCATGTTCTAGTGCTATGACAGCGTATCACCCCCTGAACTTTTGACCAAAAATAGAGCTTTTTTCACTTGTGTGGTTTTGGAGGCTGTCTTATTTGGCTGTCCAGATGCTGGAACACAATTCCCAACACCCACATCTTAAAGGAGGAGAGCTTTAATTTGGTTCACAGTTCGAGGGAGTACAGCCTATAGTCTGCTGGCTCCAAAGCAGAAACTTCATGGTCGGGGAGCAGAGCTGCTTAGTTCATGGAGGCTGGAAGTAGGGCAGGGAAACAGTGTCAGAGAAGAGGAGGCCAAGATACAGTCCCCAAACTCACAAGTCTGTGACATCTTAGAGATGCCCAGGAGTGTGCTCCACCAATCCCTTCAGTGGTTCTCAAACTTAGCTACCACAAACTTATTGTGATATCATAATAGCGTAGACCGCTGAGTTACAGGCAGTCAGACAGGGCTGGGTCCTCAAGAGGCTCAGGACGAAGGTGAAACATGCCACAGCTGCACCGGAGACACATATGCTGAAAACCAGGTCTCAAGGTAAAGACAAGATGATCAGACCTGCACAGTTACTTAGAGAACAAACACTGGGCCTACTGAAGTCTAGACTGACATCAGCCACCCCGGTGGGTGACCAGAGACCTCTGGACCCACCACTTCCTAGGAGCATCTTTTTTCTTCCCATCTACTCTTGTTACGTGATTTATTTCCTTCCCAATTGGAGCACCATCACCTCAGTGAGTACAATTGTAGTCGTACCAGATGTCCACGGCTGTGGCCCATGCTGCACCCGTGTGGTTTTCACCCTATAAAACTCCCCTGTAAACTGAGGTCCCCAGGCTGCCCACTCAGGTCCCCTCCTGCCCCTCCGGAGCGTTCCCATCGATAAATAGCTTCCTACTCTTCCCCTGTTTCATTCTTTGATTTCTAAAGAACAGGAACTTAGCCTATCATACAGCTAACAGGTTGGGAGATGTAATATTTTATATTTCATCTCTGTAATTCTTTCCTCGAACAATAACGTGGAGGAGGAATCAGATATTAAGACGGAACAAGCGTTTAAAAAAAAAAACCAAAAACAAGCGTGCTACCTTGGGTCTGACATTCTCTGCATACAAAGGCAGAGATGCCACCGTTATCAGGACCCATCCAAGCCCAGTCATCTCCCAAGTGCTCCACCTCCAAAAACCCTCGACGTGTGATTCAGAAGATCACCTCTGGTTAGTGTTCAGGCCTGGAATGTCCCCCCAAATTCTCATGCACTTGAAGGCAGGGTTTGGGGGTGACTGGATCCCGCGGGCAGTTGTAT